AGAACGCACCGAGTCCGAAGTCGTCTGCCATAGTAGTTGTCTTGATTCCCAGCATCTGACAGTAGACTTGCTACATTTTTAAACGTTTTGCCGGCATCGTAGTCTGGACAAAGAGTGATGGGACTACTGTTAAACAGACAATTAGTCAAGAAGATTGCTTTCATTTGTCACTGATAAATTGTAATTCTGTGCTTACGATGGCGCTTCTCACTGACGATGCCGGCGAAACGTTTGGGAATGTATCCAGCCAAAGGTTTAATGCTGGAAATTACGAATATAATGGCAGAGGACACGGGACAAGGTACGTTCCACAAGGTCTCCCTGACGTTTCGACCAAGTTGAGAAAGCTAGGTGGAACTAATAATATAAAGCTAAAAGAGACTGCGACCATCTTGGCCTTCATATCTACGATATAAATTTTATTATTTCACGAATAGTTAATTTTTGATATATTCAGTAAATCATAAATAAGAACTTAGTTCTCCTATGCTGCTTACAGTGATTTTCATGGACTGTTAGGTACGAGACTTTCATCTTGTATGAAAATGCCTGCATGAAGAATGGATTCGAGAGACGATCTTACCAGAAGACAACTGCTAATTCCTGTTGTACTGCAGCTGTCTGGCTTCAATACGACTTTTAGAATGATGCAATTTACGAGACATCCTCCCTCGTTTTGAGATTAAATGAGTCAAGATTTCGCCCATCATCATCAGAGCTGGAACTCATTCCTATAAAAGTCTCAAGTTAACGCTAATTCAAGAATGAGTTCCAACCAAAACGAGAATGAATGTTTCATGGACTGCGTCAACCTGAACGTCGTATTAAAGCAAGACGGCTACAGTACAAAGGGAATCAGCCACCGTCTTATGGCGAGATCGACCTACGAATCTCTCCCCAATAATATTATCTTAAAAGATTCCGCAAAACCCATTATTTTATTCATGAGTAGTATTAGAGACTAAAAAATACTTAACAAAGAATTCAGTCATAGCATCGTTTAGGATGATTTAAGGATTGTTATTTTCTCATCAAAATTAATGTTAACAGCTCAGATGAAGCCTTAATTGTACTTCAGTGCTGGTTGAATTTAAGTA